AAGTACAAAGGAAAGGACGCAAAGAAAACTTCTACAAAGACATCAGAGCTTTACATATTTCCCCTTGTTTTGACACTCCTGTGAAGCCAGGATCATGGGATGCCTGTCTCTGAAATCTGCCACATTGTGCCTGGGTTTCCCATTCTCTGTGCCATAAGTGTCTGAGAAAGCCAAGACCACCTAAAGGCTCACCTCATTTGATTCTTTTCTTTCTGTAATCACATTCCAGAAATACCAACTGTTACAAAATCTGAAAACAGTTGCTTCCTCTATCCTGTCAAGCTTTCTAGTTATTTAAAGAGGAACAGCATGTGCCTTGTGAGTGATCCCATGATGCCAGAAACAGGTGTCTGGCACACTGTATTTAGCAGTGTGACCCTAACATCTACATTTTACCTCAGAGATTTTTATTTCTAACACTTCAGATAAGAAATTGGGACACAGAGATGGAATTTTAGTAAGAAAAAAGAAAAATGCTAATTATTAAGAAAATACGCAGATGTAGAGGTGGTGTCGACAAGAATAATGAATTAAAAACATTATTATAAATAAATTGAGTATTTGGAAGCCTAGAGCACAGTAAAGAGCCTCCAGCCACCTGATTCCTCAAGGAGGATTCAGCTAGTTTTCCACTCTCATCTCCCCACCTACTATCAGACAAACACTTGTATGTGGAATGTGAGAAAAAAAAATGTGGCAAGTCTGCTTAAAGCATTGTTGATATTTCACTGACTACAGAATGAATCCACATCCTCAAATTTAACAATAACTTTTAAAATGTTCTTTTAAGGATGCTTTCTGCATTCTTGAAAAGGTCCTTCAATACGTAGGAATTAATTTAACTGGAAATGCAATATGCCATCCGCCTATCTTCCCAAACCACTGGCTCAGAGTTTGTCTTCAAACTCTCCAGGTTAAGTCCTACTTGGACTGCCTCTGTTCCTAGTCCACACAAATTCTCTAAGCCTGTAGTGTCTAACTCTTCAAAACCTCGATCTCTCAGTTCCATCACTATATTTCTATTGGAATCAAGAACTAGTAAGAATGTATTCTTCCTTGTGGGGGAGATTATCCTGCTCACATATACCATGAAAAGAGAGAGACTCATTATTTTCTACTCTTTCCTCATCAATTATTTATTTACTTATATATTTATTAATTTATTTATGCTTATAGGTCTCACTATGTTGCCCAGTCTGGCCTTAAATTCACTATAATCCCCCTATCTCATCCTTCCATGTATTGAGAGTATAGCCATGAACCAATACAGCCAGATTTTCTCCATAACCTTACATAATGGTGTATTGAAATACTTCTGAATGAAAACAAATTTTGAAGCAAATACAATATATACTCAAAATCCATCTCTTATAACAACACACTCCATTCATCTAAATTTTCTTTACTATAAAATCATTTTAAATGTACAATAGAATAGTCCTTTTCCAAATAATAATTTTAAAAATCTATAGGTGTAGCAAGAGAAAAAAAAATCTCATCTTTTTTCCTGGGCAAAATTCCCATGAACTCATTGCTGAGAATTAAATCACAAATTTTGTAAAAGCAGTCAAGCTGATATTGTGGGCAATGGGCTACTGTTTAATTTGCAATTACATGCACAATTTAGAAACCACTTTAAGATAATTTACCCTCAGGAGGATCACTACCATAACCTCTCCCATAAAGCACAATTCCAGGGGGAAAGGAAGCACGTACAGAATAATTTAATAGAAAATAAGGATCTTAAATTTAGGGTACTAATCTCCCAGACTGAACAAAGTCTTCCATTCCAAAATTGTGGAACATGTTGACATGATGTTTATTCCCCAGTGTTAGATTCATTATGTCTGAGATTTGCAATTAAAACTGAAATGCAGTCAGCCTTGGGAGCTATTAAATACAATGTGCTTTCCTATAGGTCATTCAGGGGACTAAAAACAAACACACACATAAAACATACCACTTTCACTCCTGTTTCTGATAACACAGCTGCATTATTTCCTTTGTTTAATATAATCAAAGGCCTCTCAGCAAAAGCTCAGTGATAGGTGTCTTTGGCAAGTGTGCATGCAGCTCTGGGACACAAAGGCAGCAAAGAAAGTGTCTTATTTAAAAGACATGCACAGAGTGTGGGGGTTAGAGAGCAGACAGTTTCTAATTTTGAGAAAGAGGTGTTGTAATCCACTGAGTATTTCAATCAAATGGAGACAGGATCAACTGTCTAGGAAAATGCCTTCTGACTCTTTGGTCTGCATATTCACTAACTTACAAAATCTACTCAAATCATAGTTACGTTCTTATACAAAGAAATTCCAACAAGGCATTGCAAAGGACACAGATTCTGTGTCCCAGAGACAGCACCAACCAGCACACCAAAAACCCTTAAGTGTGATCACGAAAGCTTTATTTTCCAAAATAGTAATTTTTAAAAAACACAAAGAATACACATTAAAGGGAGGCCATCTGGTATACCTTCTGCTGAGAGCTTTTTAGAGCAAAATTACTCTGTGTGTAGAAAATATTATTGCAATATTCCTCTCTCTAAACACACTCATGATATGCATATAGAGATAATTATCAAAAAGACTGAGATATGCATTTCAATGGGGACTATATGTAGTGGGTGATTATCAACTTATGAAGTTTTTTTAGTTCAGAGAATTCTTTTTTTATCCTGCCATTAAGAAATATTCATCTATTAATACACTTTATTTTAACCAAGATACACAGGGATGGGGAATATGTGAAACTAATTCATTATTTATGATTCATGTCTCTGTTTGAAGGTGTTAATAGCAAAACAACAACAACAGAAATAAAAAAAAAAACTAAAGGTTAAAACTTGCAGTTGCTTGGTTTCCCTGAATCTGACTTACCCACACTATCTCTATATCAACATGAGTAATTGGAAGTTGTTTTATTTCCAAAGCAATGATTTTATCAGACAACCAAAGTCTACTTTAGCTTACAGTCATTACTAACCAAAGATCTAACAGACCAAAGGAGATAAAAAAGTTTATAATATGACAAAATTCTCTTATTTAAGCAGAGCATTAAAACAGCATTTCAACATTCACGGCAATAATTAACAAGTCAAGTGTGAGACAGTTGAATATGTGTACATTCTTCATGCAATCACCCAGACTAAAAGCCCAGGACTCACCCTTACCTCCAGTTCACAAAGCAACACCCTCATATCAAGGAGCCTGTGCTCAATGTCCCACATCATCCACCTGCTCTCCTCAGAGACTGTCCCAATTGGGAATAATTGTTTCATGTTTGGCCCTTTATGGCTTTAATCCCTCCCTTTTCTGGTCTCTTTTATCCTTTGAATTTATTCAAATCCAGGCCACCATAAAAGAAACTGTGCACATATTGAATTCCTAGGTCAAATATCCTATCTGTCTAATTTCATTATCATCTAGACATCTTTGAAAGTTTGTCCTCACTAAGATCTGAGCTGTAATAAATGCAGCTTCTTTTAAATTGTCTATGTTATCAATGGTAACTTCTCATGGAGAGTCAAGAAAAATGAGTTAGCTATGAATGTATCACCATATTTTGTTTACTCTAATTCTTCCATATTTCTTACTTTTCAACTTGCTATCTAAGAGATATCTCCATAATACTATTTCCTTAGATGAGTTCTTAATCAGTTATTCCAATCTTACTAAAATCCTACCTCTACTCTGAATGTATTATTATCTTAAAAACAGTATCATAAACCGGGTAGTTGTTATAGTCAAAACTCTAGCGCTATCCTTAAGAAGAACACTGATCTAATCTATATCAATACATCATATGCTTTGCTGATACATCCAAGCACTCGTCAACACTTAGGTTCTCAGGTAACCTATCTCTTGCTTGACTCAGTGACAAGACTCTAACTGGACACAAAAAATTGACTCCTGTTCTGTCCCCCAAAGTCATTCATCAGGAGTCAGAGTAGAAGATTTCTTTAAAAGAAAATAAATGAGATAATTCCACTTTCCAGTTTGAGTCATTTATCATCATACATAGAATAAAAAAAAAAATATTTTTTTCTTTGCATACTGTGACCTGCAGTGTTCTATATGATCAGGCCCTAGGGATATGTCTGAAATAATTTCTTCCCATTTTCTCCCCTTTTACCTTCCCCCATGAACTACCACACCCCTTTTGCATAACAAGCTCAGACTTCTAACAGGATTTTCAATTATCAGTGCCTGCACGTCTGGAATACAATATCTAATGTGCTAGATCACAGGGCTCCTCACTTTATGCAGACATTTATTTCATCACAATATCTCTGCTCTCACCCTCACTAACACAGTGTTCTCATTCACTCTCTCATAAACTTGATGATTTTTCTTCAGAGGATTTATAATTGGTAGGCAATGATGAAGAATAGGTTTTTTTGGTTTTTGTTTTGTTTTGTTTTTTGTTTGTTTGGTTTTTTTTTTTTGTGTGTGTGTGTGTGTGTGTGTGTTTGCTTTGGGATTCCGTTGTCGATTTGTATCATTTCCCCAACTACAATACTTGCTTTATGAGGGCATACTTACGAGGACAGGGATCTTGTTTATTTTGTCATCACTCGAGCCCTAACAAGTCAAGTAACCTGATACATAGGAGACGCTTAATTAATAGTTTTTGAAAAACTAATTCAAGAAATCAAGTTCTAGCTATGAATGACTCACATGCACAGGCCATTCCTAGTCTAACTAGACCCTAAAAGTACACCTATAATCATCAAATTCCTATCATATACCTAAATGAGAATGTCCCAGGTCTACAGGAAACTGTAGAAATCCATCATGCTACTTTATCCTAAGACATGAAAAATTGTACTTTTTTTTTCTTTTTTTGCTATAATCTGTCCGTGATGAAAGGCTCTAACACAGTTTATATAAATAAGAGTTTCTCAAATTTTAAGATAATAGTTTTTCCCTTAAGAGCTTTACCAAAAGATCCTACTCGCTAACTGAGAAATAGAAAGGAAAAATATGCCAAAAGGTACTTACCTCCCTTTTTCTACTAAGAGTAACACATCTAACTTTTCTCCGTTTTGCATCATTGTGCTGATTGCTGGAGAGATAAAAGGATGAATATTTCTTTTAATGTTAAAATATGCTTAGATACACAATTAATACAATTTAGTCACAAGTTTGGGGTTAAGGCTTCCAAATTCCATGTGAAGCTGCCATTATCACATGCAATCAGGAGGTGTGTCCCAGCAACAAGGTGTGGGGGTCCTCTTACTTAGCTCCTGCAGTCTTCTGAGGTGCATTCTCTCTTCCTGAGCGTCTTGCGTTTGAAGGCAAAAACACAAACTAGACTTGTCCATAGCAAACCAGCCTTTTCTCCACTGGTCCAGGGCATGGCAGTCTTTGTAGAAGAGTTGACCAATCAAATCATAGTCAGCTTCTGTTAAGTTTTCAGCAACAAAGGGAACAAAATGCTGTTAAAACAAATACAGAAAAGTAAGAAAGACAGTGAAAATAGGAAAGCCCTTCCCTATCTACAGATAGAGGGGAAAATGGAAAACTTATCTTTGTTTTCCTATTTTAAAGGCTCTTAAGTAAATGCCAAATTCAAAATAATCAGTTAAAAAAATGCTACGAAACACAAAGTAAACAGGTAATATATATTTTCAAACAGCAGCACCATATGCCTTGTTTCTTATTATATATGCAAAATAGTAACTATTCTTTCTTGGTTTGTGGAATCGTAGAAAAGGTCAGGTTCCCACAAGTACTCCATTTATATCATTTGCTAAATCTGTTCCTTTCCTCATGTACATTGGGGTAAGTAATATTCCCATGCGAAGGTACAAGAAAAAAATGACTTTACAATATGAATACTCCATCTTAATCATCAAAAATACAGAGTTAACTCATAAGAATGATTTTTATCAATGTTCTAGATGAACTTGTTTTTTGCAGGGCCTGAAAGTCTGCTTTTAACCTTTTTTGATGGCCATCTTTGAAAATATGAAAAAAATTCTTCCTAGAATTGTAGTTAAATTGTCCATGGATCTTTGAAACTCAACTATAGACCTCAAGTTAAGGATCTTTCCTGGACCTAGCAAATATAAAATTTAAATACCTTGGCTATTATCTCTGTCCATTTTCTTTGAATCTGAGATGTTTCAGCTCCAAACAAAAAGACACGTTCTGAGGGTAAGTAGATCTCAAAGACAAAGATTGGCCTACAGCAAGGACAAATATAAAGACACCACCACACAGAATTAATGAATATAATTTAAAACTTTAAAAATCAAAAGAAAAGCAAATTAGTTATTAATCAGTTTTTACGACATTGACAAATATTTAATAGAAAAATAGCACCTTCAACTGACTCTCAAGTAGGATAGATTGGTAATTATGTAATAATGACAATAGAGTTCTTATAATTTAATATAAATAACATCATTGCAAAATCTCTTTTATCATAAAAATTACTAAAATCTCTGTTCACAAAACTGGTTTGTTTTTTAATTTGTATACATTTTCATTAACTATACTATAAAACAAACACAGTAAGAAGTTTTCACATCAGTGTTTCTCAGGTTCATTCAAGTTTTTAAATAAGTAAAATAGGTTATATAAATAATGCTTAATCCTCTGTAATTTCAACATTTTCAGATCATGAAAGTATTCAAGTATATCTCAAAATTTATCTTTTAATATGATACTTAATATGTTTAAGGGTTGTGGATGTTGCTCAGTGGTAGTGTTCATCTGATATTTTGTTTATTTTAACATGAGTCAATAATCACTTTTCTTTTTTCTCATCTTTTTTATTTTTTTCTTTTCTCATCTGTTTTATTTTTTTAATTTTTTTTAACATTTTCCCTTTATTTTACATATTGACTACAGATTCCCCTACCTCACCTTCTCCCGTTTCCTCCTCCTGACTCCCATCTACTCCCCTTCCAATCCCTCACTCCTCCATCTCTATTCAGAAAGGGGCAGGCCTCCCATATGCTTGAATACAGCATGGCACATCAAGTTGTGGTAGGACTGATGCATAGAGGCTGGGCAAGGTAATCCAGCATGGGGAACAGGTTCCCAAAAGTCAGCTAAGTGCCAGGGACAGGTTGTGATCTCACTGCTAGGAGCCTTACAAACAGACTAAGCTACAAGACTATCCCACATATGCAGACTCCCTAACTGTTCATAGCAGCATTATTCATAATAGCCAGAGCTTGGAAAAAAACCTAGATGCCCCTCAACCAAAGAATGGATAAGGAAATGTGGTACATTTACACAATGGCCTATTACTCAGCTGTAAAAATCAATGACCTCATAAAATTTGCAGGCAAATGGATGGAACTAGAAAAAATAATTCAGAGTGAGGTAATTCAGATCCAGAAAGACAAACATGGTATGTACTCACTCATAAGTGGATATCAGAAGTAAAGTACAAGATAAGCAACGTACAATCCACAGCCCCAAAGAGGCTAGATAGCAAAGAGGGCCCAAAGAGGAATACATGGATTTCCCTGGGAAGGGGAAATAGAAGAGATCTCCTGGGTAAACTGGGGGTGGGAGTCGAGTTGGGGGAAGTGGAAACTTGAGGAAGTTCATTGGGTAGGCTGGGTTCAGGAGGCAATTTGGGGGTAAAATGGAGGGCTAGGGAGAAACCTGATGCCAGGGAAACTCACAAGAATCCACAATAATGACCCCAGCTAAAACTCCTAGCAACAGTGGAGAACGTGCCTAACCTGGCCATCTACTGTAATCAGATTGATCACTACCCTAATTATCCAGTAACTGATGGAATCAAATGCAGAGATTCACGGCCAAGCACTGGGCAGAGCTCTGGGAGTGGTCCTAAAGAAAGGGAGGAGGGATCCTAAGAGCCAGGGGAGTCAAGGTCATGACATAGGAACCCACAGGGACAGTTGAACTGGGATTCTGGGAGTACATTGATTCTGGACCAACAGTTAGGGAGCCTGCATGGGACCAACCTAGACGCCCTCTGCATATGTGTGACAGTGTAGCTTTGTGCCTTTCCTGGATCTCACTCTGTAGACCAGGCTGGCCTTGAACTCACAGAGATCTGCCTGCCTCTGCCTCCTCAGTGCTGGGATTGAAGTTGTGCACCACCACCGCCTGGCAGTTTTCTTCTGTTTTATATATGATATCCTTTAAACAAATATATGATTCCTGCTTTTAGTCCACTATTTAAATTTATCAGAGAAACAAAAGTATTTCAATGATCAACAATGTAGTGCTATAGTATCAACTACTTTCTAGAGAATTTCATATGGAGGTTTCAGATGAAATGAACTGGCTTGAAGATACCATAGAATCTTTTTACAGGAAGCAAAGGAAGAACATGAAAGATAACTAAATCCTCATCACCTGATACAAGGACTACCAATCCCTTTCACCTCCCAGATAGATGTTCAAGGGTAGACATACCCAGTACTCAAATAGAAGTCCTCTTTATGGACAGCCAGGCAGATAACTTCACTGATGTTAATAGTGCCATTAGGTGTGGTACATTTGTCGTTTTCGTAGTAACTCAAGAAGCCGCCTTCCAAAACACACCACTTTTTATTTATCTCTAGGAATTTAAAACAAAGCAAATAATAAATGGAACTATAATATAAACTTTTTAAAAACAAATCACGACTGTATTCCAATAAAGAAATGGACAAATTCCCTATTTTAGAAAGGAAACATCAGACTAATTCATAGGATATAAAGTTGATACTTTTCCTTGCAAATAAATTCTCACCTAATAGTAAAGGATATACCAGACAAAAAATGAATATGACATTGATGACCAGAGAAGTAGGCTAATTCATAAAGTGAAAAGCTTCAACACAGCCCTGGAACCACAAAGACTGTGGTCTTCACAGAGGATATGGAGAGGACAAATAGAGCAAAAACTAAAAGCACATCTATTGAGTCAGAAGGATGTAAACAAAATGCTCCAAAACCACAATGTCTGTAGTGTCTTATTTAGGAGTTTTCAAGTCCTTATTAAACAGGGGTCAGCACAACATGGATAGGGTCCAAATTCGACCACCACCACCTGATACAATAAAGTTTTATTGGTACAGTGATACTTGTTCCTTATGGATGGCCTGTGTCTCATTTGCCACTACAAGAACTGAGCTAACATGGAAATTATCTGACCCACAAAGTTTAAAATTTCGCTGCAAGTCCCTTTTAAGAAAAGGTTACTAATCCTATAGAGAGGAGCCACAGAAATGGTTTTAGCTGTGGAAGATACTCAGGTATGAGTTTTGTGCATTTTTATTACTTTAATAAGTATATTTGAGAGAGTAAAGATAAGCAAAAATGGAAGACAGGAAAAATTAATTCAACGTGAAAGTGTAAAGGAACCCTTTACTCTTCTGGATCCAATTTATGTCTCTTGCTACCTAAGAGTGACCCAATTCAGTACAGCTGACTGAACCTCCACAAGAGGAATATGTACCCAGAGATTAGAGACCTGAGACAGACCTTGAACCAGAATATTAAAACAGCTGATGAACTATGCTTAGGATCAAAATATATAAGCTTAAGGTGCACTAAGAATTTCTTTCATAGTTTTTGTTCCATGTTTTTGTCTTTACAGCATACCTTTATCAGATGGAAAGCTGCACTGTACCCATCACAAGTCACTTTGTAATGTTATTTCCAAAAGAAAAACATTTTGATAGGAAGAAAGTATATCAAAGACTAATCCATTCCTATTCCCTCCCCTAAACCCCAAGCCAATGGTACTGTAGGACACAAGATCTAATTTCAAAGGGAGCACACACACACACACACACACACACACACACACACACACTTTCTCTCTCTCTCTCTCTCTCTCTCTCTCTCTCTCTCTCTCTCTCTCTCTCAGAAAAAAAGACCTACAGTTCATAAAAAAACAAAACAAACAAACAAAAAGAATTCTTCTGAAAGACAACAGATGATACATTCAAATGAAAGCAATCACAAAGAATTAAGCAATGTCCTGCAAGGTTCCCGAAAGGGTCGATGAGCTCACACTTCATGAGTATAGAATGAGAAGGGAAGAAATTATATTTGTATTTGTCCAGGTAGGGCCACTCCCAACCACTACCTCCCCAACCCCCATCCTCACCACCCATACCCACCTCCAAGCCCCATTCCCATCCCCCATTCTCACTCCCACCTCATGCTAAGTTGCTAAGCAACATCATTCCTAAGCTACAAGAAAACTGGGTCTCTTACTCTAAAAAGAGTAAACAGGTCAAATTCTAAACTATGACTTAAGCACTGCCTGAAGTCACAGTAAAGCTTACTACAGAAACAAAGTGGTTACATGACAGTCTGCTCACGAAACAGAGTAGCTGTCAATTATCTTGCCACATTTAGTAAAAGATTAGAGCCAGGACTCACTAGTCTGCAAGAGGCTGGGTTTAGCCTTCTGACTGACTCTAACTATTTAAAAAAACTATAGAGAGGTTAGTTCTCCCAGAGCCCTCAGGAGAGCCTTGAGGACACCTGGATTTTAACCCAGTGATGCTGATGTAACACTTGACACCAGAAGTATGAAGGGCTATACTTCTGTTGTTGGATGCCAATTGTGTGATAATTGGTGAACATGTAAGTTCAGAGTAGCACAATAATCACATAATCAATAAATGTTAATATTATTTTTAAAATTTTAAACTTGACAGAAAGCATCCAGTCTAAAATACTTTGAGGGGGAAAAAAAGAAGCCTAGACATCAGAAGACTTCCAACGTTTGATTTGGAAGTTTAAGTTGACCTTTGTAAAGAAATACACACTGAGGTAATTCAAATAAAGAAAACTTCTGAAAATAATTAGAAAATAAAAAGCATGAGTGAGAGAAAGACAGAGAGAGAAAAAACACAAATATGAGGATGAAACAAATTAAAACACTAATATTTGTATTGTATGAGCTATATACACATGGACATTTTTCATACATTCTTCTAAGATTCCATAAGTCTCAAATTAAGTCAAAACTATGAAAGAAAAAATCCATTGACTTGAGGCTTGAATCTTCTTTTATCCCTTCACTGGACTCTTAGGAAAGAACAGCAATAAGAAGCTAAGGAAAAAGACGATACAACATTTGGAAAAACAGCAGCCAGAAACCCTGAGGCTGGCAGGACTGACATACTCAGAAAACCTGAAAAAGAGACTCAGGAACAACCATCAGAATAAGCCCTCCATAGACCCTGGAAAAGAGAGTTAACAGAGGCATGGTCAGTGCTTAGAGGAAGGCGATATGTTATTCCAGGGACTCAAAATTCTGAGTCACATTATATATCCTGTGCCACTACAGAAGAAAAACATCCTGAAAGACCAGCAATTTTTAAATGAAAATTATTTTCCCTAAAGTATTTTAAAAAGAAAGCCTATATATTAACAAAAGCAGTTCATGAACTAATTTGAAAAGACAGAGGACGGGAATAACCTTCCTAAAAGAAGAAAAACCGAGGATGAGACAATGTCTGCCATAAAGGCACACAGTGCCAGAGATTCCTATTGTACACCAAGTCTTCATTGCAGTTTACAATCCCCTTAATGGGAAATGTGTTTGGAATGATAAAAGTCAGGTAGCCGCCCCCCCTACCCCCCCATTAGGAGCCAAGGAGGAGCAGGACATTCCCAGAGGAGAGCAATGAGAGAAAATTTCATCCTTCCCACAGCTTCTACAAAATAGTTCTTCATGTTTGGGGAGCAGGTTTCTATAGCAGCACACCTATTCAGAGCTACAACCACCCAGGCTCTTCAGAAACAACAGGAGGAGGCAGCCACAGAAATGGATACTGGAGATACCTGGCCAGGTGATCAGGTTAAACAGGATGCAGGAAATGGAAAACAAAACTACCCTACCCAGCAGAGGTCAGCCCCTCATAGTCCTTCCAGACTCATGAGAATGTTCCTCTCTCAGAAGACAACTGGCAACCATTCAAAGGCCTTAAACACACAGTGCCCAAAGGAATGATGCACAGAACAAATGTGAATGCAGAGTCTAATTAGGTAATTTCTAATGGGAAACAAATGACAGGGCTCTTTAAAGAGGGGGCTCCATAGAAATGTGGGCTTGAAGAGGATCTGTGCTCTAGCTTTGTCCTGTCTATAACATCAGTTGCTTTGGAAATGGGCCAGAGGTCAGACAAGCTAGGCATGGTTCTTGTCTTCGAAGTCTTAGAATAACAAAGATGAGACAGGAAATCTCGACATTCCTGTTGATTTGGGAAGCAATGAAGACCCATGAAATTGTGGTTGTCACTGCCCCCAAAGAACTTTTCTCTGCTACAGAAACCAAAAGCAGTTTTTGCAAAATGTCCACCAAAGTGAAATCAGGGCCATATAATAGGTGACTCTAAAGACTCAGCTGCTTAACAGGGAAGGGTCTGTATGTGAGGTGAAAGTGAAAGATGGAGTTCTTAATTTCCCTGCAGTTGGCTGTTTGGGACAAGGAAGACAAACATTCATGTAGGATTTATCCAAACCCTGTATGCAGTTCCACAGACACGCTATTTCAGTATTCCATGGAATGAAATAGATGTTCTAGTTTAGAACTGGGGAGGTCAAATGAGGCCTGGAGGACAATGCAACTAAACTCAGAAACCAACAGGAATCTAGAAGCCGCTGTGTAACACGAATCTTAAAAGGTCTTATTAATAAAAACAAACCTGGAGCCAGGTATTGGGGTGAACGCTGGGAGATCAGAGAAATAGAATGGGCCACAGCTAACCTCACCGCGCCAATTCCTCAGCTGATCCTGTTTCCTCTGACTGGAAATCCAAATGGATCTCAGCTGAACTGCTGCTCAAAAGCCTAAAAGCCCAACCAGGCTCTAGTTCCTGGTTTTCACGCCTTATAAACCTTTTTGCTCCCTGCCATCACTTCCTGGGATTAAAGGCATGTGTCACCATACCTGGCTGTTTCCAGTGTGGCTTTGAACTCACAGAGATCCAGGTGGATCTCTGCCTCTGGAATGCTAGGATTAAAGGCAAGTGCTACCACTGCCTAACCTCTATGTTTAATATTGTGGCTGTTCTGTTCTCTGACCACCAAATAAGTTTATTGGGGTGCACAATATATCGACCACACGGCTGTGTTTATATTGAGCCCTCAACAGCTCCTTCCCTCACCCCCAATTCCATCAGCCTTGATCATGTTCACGGGCCAAGCATGTTCTACCTATTTTATATGTATGAATCACTGAGCCTACAGAATGACGTCAGTTCTGTGCCCAAACCACTGTCTTGTACCCTTTTTGTAGGCATAGAGAAGGTAACTAAGCTTCCTCAGGTCACATGAATAATTACTATTAGAGGGGAGACGCTTTCAAACAGGTAGCATCTGGAAGCTACCCTTTAACCACTGAGCAAAACACCTGTATGCATGTTACATGATCAGACCATATGACCACTTTTAAAGTATCATAGTAGAGAAGTCTCATATTCTAATATGCGTGTGCACAATGAATCTGAGGTGGTTAAGGCAAAGCTATTATTTTCCAAAACCATGAAGTCATTTCCTAAATTTCCTAAAATGATGATATTCAGCTCCCACTTATGAGAGGAATATGCACCAGTAATTTTTCTCATTTAAATAAATATGCTTCAGCCTTGGAAACATATTTTTTAAAGAAATGTAAACAACTTAGGCTTTTCCTAGAATAAAGGACTTTAAAAATTCCTTGTTAATGTATGAAATTAAGTATAAACAGAATGGAATAGGAGTCTCTAGAAAACCCTATCAACCACTTTCTTTTTAAAACCCAAAGGCTGCACAAACTAATCAAAGCCAGATACCAGGGGAAACACACAGGGTTGAGGGAGGGAGACCGAAAACAAAACCAGGATGCTATTATTCAGCTCTGTGCAGAGGTATAACAAGGCTATCAATCTTTCTTTTCATGAACACTAAACCGAGAAAAGAAAAAGCAAAATACAGATCTGTCTTCATAAGCAAGAGCTACAAGAACTTGAGATCTGGAAAAGCTGCGCTGACAATGTGAAACCTCAGTGACTCCGAAGAATGCATGCATTTCATTCCCGGACTCCTGTCTTCATGTTTAATCACTTTGTTTTCTGCCTGGGCTGACAAGAGCTGATGGAGTGGTACTGTCCAGCGCTTGCCTTTCAGAGGCAAAGGTGGCAGCCACACTTTAATCTCTACATCTTTCCAAACAATTCATTTTCTTCCCATAAAGCTGACATCCAACAACAGTAGCAGCGCTGCCGAATCTTGAGCAGGCCAATAACAGGGCCAGAAACACATGCTTATTCAGAGTTCCGCTTCTACTTCTTGGAAGAGCTTTTTCTTAACAACATATGCTTTATGCCAGCAACTGTATCTTTTGATGTGAAAGTTTCCCCATTTCTGTGCGGGAGTGGCAATATCCATGACAAGACTCTCAATGCCTGCGTGAAGCTCAGAAGATACTGGACCCTGCATATCATATTTTCCAAAGAATACATAAAGTTTAAATTATAAATTAGGTATTGTGGGAAATTAACCATACATAATAATATAACTATAAAATACTTCAATAAAAAATTTAAATCTATACATTTTTCTGGAATTTTATTCAGTTAACGTTTTTTTCATCTTAGTTGACTACTGACAGCTCAAATTTTAGTGAAATCACTGGCAATCAAACCACACATACAATCAAAGACTACTAACAAGTGACTTTGATATTTTTAAACAGCTAATAACTTTCTTAAAGATACAGTTGTTCATTCCACAAATATTTCTCATGGGGTAACTAAGTGTTAACATTGATTTGGACACCAAATATTTAATGAACCTGAACAAAACAGAGAGAATCAAAGCACGACTGACCCTTCACTCCTCAGGGAAGGAGAAACAAACAAATGACCAAGGGGTTGTCTTGGACATGGTAAGCGCCATATTAGAACTGCACAGCATCCTCAGAAGATGATGACCTAATAGTGTAGAGGACATTTGCATAAAGTGACAGAGAGACCTTACTATGTGGCAACGAGCCAACCCCTGAAAAATAAGATAGCATCACACTGGAGACAGGACTTCCAGATGTGGCGGGAGGAAAGAATACAGCCTTTTTAGAAATAGCCTAAGCTACGGAGCCAGGCATGGGCATGCAGAAGGAACGCCCACAAATGAAGAGTGCAGCCAAAGACAACTCCCAGGTCTTAAACACAAGCACCAGGTCTCACCGGCAGTGGGAACCTGCTGTCTTCCCTTGAGCAATGGATGAACAGGACCTGAGTTCTTTTCTGAAAGGAATTAAGTTTGTTTTGGGTTTTTTTTTTTTTTTTAAGACCACAGTGAAGCTAAGGTGGATATAAAGAGACATAAAGGCAGTACTGTGGCATAGGCAGGGCCTGGGGATAAGCAGAGCCGGGCTGCTGTCAGCAGATTCGGTTTGAGCGTGAATCTATAAACTGTGCTAATAAATTAGATAGAAAAAGACATTCAAAGAATATCTTACCAGGAGGGAATTTTTAAATGAAATAATTTCTAGTGCACTATGTAACTAAATCTTAGATATCTGCTTGAAATTACTTTTAGAAAAACATTTCAAATGAAAAAAAAAATCCTAATTAACTTCCATGTATCGTCAGCCAGCTCTGCATATCCATGGGTGCCGAACCCATAGATCTAAATCAATTACTAATGAAAAACACCCAAAATGTTTTACATCTTTACTGAATGTACACATATTTCTTTTCTTGCCAGTATCTCCTACCAATATTAGGTAGTAACTTCTTTCAGTGCATTCCTATCATGTAATATAAAAAAATCTACAGATGATTAGAAACGTATGGAAGAAAAAAATGTTAAGTAACATGCAAACACTGCTCCACTTTATGCAGGGGACATAAGTATGAGTAGTGAGTTTAGTGTCTACAAAGGTCTTGAACCCAACACTCCATAAAAACTTAAATCACATGGACCAAGACGAACTTCTTTCAGTTTTGATGTGAAATGTATTCAAAATATTTAAAGTTAACTTCTGAAATCTAAAGGGGAAGATTCCGTAATAAATTTTTAAAGCATCAAATGTGCATTACTCAATTCCAGGGTATTTTTTAAGCATGTTTGAAAAAAGACCTTATAGAGATCTGATGAGCCTAATATTAGTCTAGATAATAGTTTATTATATTGAAAAACTGAAAGGTACATTTCTGTTTCATGTTCTTGCCTTGATCTGTACTAAACTCAAGACTGAAGAATGGCTCTAGAACACTCTAGAAATCAGGAAAGTCATTGGCAAGAACTTTGTTTTTTGGGTATTATGCAGAGTTTAGTAATTGTTAGATTTGATGCATGGTTTACCCTCACAAACCTTTGGTAAAGCTTGTCATTTATTATCCCTTATGTTAAATAAAAGAAAAAATAAAAATCACTGCATTGTTAAAAAAAAAAAAAACAACCATATAAGCTTAAAGCAGAAAACGGTATTTATTCCTGCTATCCCCCATCAGAATGCAGTCACGATAAAAAGGCTACAACACAGCCAGGATTGAAATACTGAATCAGGACTGACTCCTTCCTCCTTCCTGGGAAAACTACTTAACATCAGCTTGGTCTAGACTCTATGTGGCCAATTCCTGAGCACAAAGTCCTTAAAGCAGATCGTGACAGGATAGATTTTTTTGTTTTGAAAAATCTAATGATACACAGTTTAACCTAATTTCTACTTTGAGATATATAACTTACAAAAAAAAAAAGCTTAAGCATACTTAATAAATCTGAAATTAAAAGTGTGCCAAACATCCGGAAAACAATCAATTCAAGAATCAATAGCCCCCAAATTTATAATTTCTTAGATTTAAGATTCTTTTTTCTTTTTTTTATTAGGAACATTTAATTAATAAAGGCTATGAAAATACTCCCAAGTCCAAACAACAACAAACAAACAAAAAACATAAACAAAAAAACTAAAACCTGAAATCTGAAACAATTCTGGTCTGAAGCATTTCTGATAAGAGATACTGCAAAGAACTCATAGTGAATAGTCACTACAAATGAGCAAACATCAGGTAAAAAGGTTTTAGCCAGAAACAAAATCTAAGAGGAGCAGGAAGGATACCTTCAAGTAGCTTTTTCTCTGTAGAGACTCTGGAAGCAGGAGCAGGGGCCTGGTATAAGAAGTCACAGAGGAAGGTGGACTGGGCAGGCTCCTGACTTGACCCACCCTCAGAATGAACATCATGCTGAGGGAAGTCTAGAAAAGGCAAAAAAATTTTACATTTAAACCCAAAACATAATAAAGTTCCCTTTTGTTTAGGAATTTGTGATGGAGTTTTGAACTAAAAGAAAAATAATTCCCGATTTATGACCAAATAAATACAGAGAGATTTATTTTGCTTTGTATAAAATTTGCAAATAAGCACTTAAGCCATACTTATTATTCAAATATGAAAACAAGATTTAATTTTGGAAGAAATGATTATGTCGGATTAACTATTTTAATCTTCCATTTATAAGATTAAAGGACATAAAAGAAATACAAGTCCTATACCTTTTCTCCTGTAAAGCAGTACTTTAGTAACTATGTAATTTTCTTGGTAGAAAAATTAATATATTTGTGGAAGAGAGCAGTCAGTAGAGGGTGAGGGACAAACCTGAGAACTTGTTATGATAGAGAAATTCCATCTGTAGACTCTGCCCAGCCTTCTTGGCCAGTAGGTAGGGGGTACTGTGGACAGGATCTCCTGTCGCACACATGACATCTGCTCCACTGAACAGCAGGGCCATCGTTTCCAGCACATCTGGCTTTACCACTGCAGCACATAGAGCCTGGCCATTAAAAGAACATACACCATTTATGGGAAGTGAATGCGAGTCTAGCTCTTAAAAGGAATGCAAGTTCGACAATGTATTTATGAAGCATGTATTTCTTTTTTCCTATACTAATGAAATCAATGACCTGAATCAGTGAGTGGGCAACAAAGGTCTACACTGTGTGGGTTAAAGTCATAAGTTAATGCTTCAAAGTCTCAGTCCACTATCTTGGTTCTAGAATATGCTCCTTCTGAATCTTCCAAACTATCATGGATGCTCCGGAAGACTTGTTCTGCTATTATTCTGTAATGGCTGGGGCTAAGAAATTTAATACATTTCAAATGTAATAAAGTGTACACTAAATGATCTACACTAAGAGTGTTGATATATATATATCAATATATATGTACACACACATATATACACACACACACACATACACACACACACACACACACACACACACACACACACACACACACATATATATATCATTACAATTTGTGCATAGTGTTATATTTAATTTACCTTATTTAACTCTTCTTTGGTCAGAGATGCTAAAAGAGTCTTTCTAAATTTTCCTTCTTTGTATTTCTGGGTAATAAAGATTTTTCTCTTTTCAACTGGTGAATCCATGTGTAATTCTTCTTCTTTTTGAAGGTTACCAGCCCAAAAGTCATTAGCTCTCTTGTTTCCAATGACAATAAATAGCTGAAATGGAAAATGCAAAAAGAAAATGTATTTCATTAAATGTGTTTGAACCTTCAAAATTGATTCACATCCTAAACTAAAACCTAATTCAATATAAAATACAAGAGAGAGCACGAAAGCCTGTGTTCTCAAGGCATATGATGAGAGACAGTGGGCAGCAGACATTATTTCTACGGCAGCATCAGCTGGGAAACTAAGCACACACCACACAAATGCAACAAAAGCAGCCTTACTCTTTGAACACATATTGAGACAGATTCATTTAAATGATTGTGCAGCTAGTCTGTCTCAAGGAGAGAAAGTGGAACAGGAGAGGAAATAGAGACAGAAACAGTGAGATCGAACTGGTGGGTTAATGACAAAGCTCAGGACAGATAAATTCTGCCAAATTGCTTCATTCCCTTTTCTAATACTTTTCCATATGAGTTAAAAAAAAAAAACAGAGTTCTCACTTTCATCAGAGTTGCCACATCTTTACATCCTGAGTATCATTAAAGTTCTTTGTAGTCTTTATTTTAAAAATAAGTATCTAATTTGAGAAGCTAAGTGTCATTTTTATACCAGAGTGGGAATTTCATCTAAGAACTTCTTTATAAAAGCAATCACTCCCTATTGCCAACCTCATCCACTCTTTGTTCACATGGCCCAGCAAACAGGACTTACCTCAATGAGCTCATTACTCCAAATACTAGCATCCATTTTCAGACTTCTAACCTTAGAGTCTTTAGGGCCCAACGATCTATGTTGTCCTAAAGGAAGATACAATTACATTTCCATTTTAATTTGAATGTAAATTTATTTTGCTTTGCTTTGTTAAATGTGTATTGGAGGGCTGGAAATATAGTTCAGTGGTTAAGAGCTTGCCCACCTGTGTGAGACCCTATGTTCAATTCCCAGCAATCCCTTCCCTTCCCAGCCCATACACATATGTGTGCATGTGAGGGATGTTAAGTTAGTAAAGTACTTGCCTTGCATGTAAAGACCTAAACTCAATCCCCAGAAACCACATAAAAATAGCTAGGCATGGTGGTGTGTACTTGTAATCCCAACACTGGGATTGCAAGTGGATCCTTTGGGTTTGATGGCCAACCAGCCTAGATAATTTCTATGTTAGTGAGATAACTTTTCTGACAAAATTAACTAGCTAACAAACTAACTAAAAAGTAAATAAATAAATGTGGATGCTACCTGAGGAACAACACTGAAGGTTGTCCCCCAACATCCACATGAATGCATATACATGTGGCATATATGTGTGTACCTGCTTAAATACAAGCACACACATAAAATGTGTACAGGTATGTATGCATGTATATATGTGTATATATAACATCAATTTAAAGCATCCCAGTACCTACTCTCCTAACTGCCCAAAACACTAAGAGTATTTATGGTGGTAATACAAAATCAAAAGCATAACGAACCAAAATGGGTAACAACTATAAGCTTTGCCACAATCATGTATTTCCATAAAACTATAAACTATACTTCAAAAATAATATACATGTATGTATATACATATGTAAGTGCATAGTCCCACACGTGTGTGTGTGTGTGTGTGTGTGTGTGTGTGTGTGTGTGTGTGTGTGTGTGTATGTGTGCAAATAGCCTGGGATTACCAAACTTTTTTTCCCCTTGGCAGTATGGGGATGAGCATATGCCTTTGTACCTGCTAGAAATGTTCTAATTCTGAGCTATTTTTATAAACAAGGAAAACCTTTATGTTCAGTTAAATCTCATGCACATAAATACAGCTACCAATACCAGACAATCAAATACTGACAATTGTAGCAAAAATGAGCACAGAGACCCGATGTTGATATCCTATGCTACTGCTTCCTCTGAAGAAAGGAAGCAGAGAATTAAATCAAGTACAGTATAAATCCACTCTCAGACACAATTGATACACAAGTATATGTCTCAAGTAAGCTAAAATGAAAAACATTTATGTAAGAACTTTCATTGATCTTAAGGATGGATACTTTGCCTAGGAACAGTAAAGATTCTGCACTTTGTGGTATACTAAATCAGAGGCTCTTTTCCTTCTTTATTGAAGAGGTAAAGACACTTTAGGGCACAAAGTCCCACAGCAGGAGTTCACATTGCTTTGCACTTTTAATTGTAACCTAAAAGCAACATTAGAAGCCTGCGAGTTGCAGAAGGAGATGCTAAAGCAGGCTATGTAAGAACAGATAAGCTCAAAAAACCAGAGACATGGCTTAGCAGATAAGAGACCTGGCTGCTCTTCCAGAGGACCCGAGTTCAATTCCCAGAACCCATAGTGTAGCTGACAATCATCTATAATTATAGTTTCAAGGGACCCTATGACCTTTTCTGGCCTACATGGGTAGGCAGTACAACTTCTCACCAATAAGGACAAGGATGACAATATGCAGGCTTATACACTGGGCTAGAGGCAGCAATGATGGCTCTACTTCTGATGTGCTATTTTTCAAGTGTCTTTGGAAAACTGAACTAAGATTCTCATAGGTTTAGAAAAATCATCTTCTTAGTGAGCACTCAATACAAATGATAAGTAACACTGATACAAAGAACGAGAATTGAAAACAGAGCCCAAGGCACACATGTACTTCAGCAGCATGAAGTGGTGAGGTCACCGAAGCATGGATGACAACTACTAAGAAAGCAAGACAGCATGGCTTACTGAAGTGGAGGGTGCGCCAACATCAAAGACAGACATACTAGCCACAGATCTCAAATATTACAGAGAAAATAAACACAGTAAGAATGGAGACTGACTGGCAAAATACACTGGTAAGAATACTGTAAATACTTGTACTCAACAGAGAGAAACAAAGGCTGGTTACAAAATGTTGAAGGAAAAGGAAGTTAAAGAAATGAAGAAAAGCCGGGCGGTGGTGGCGCACGCCTTTAATCCCAGCACTCGGGAGGCAGAGCCAGGCGGATCTCTGTGAGTTCGAGGCCAGTCTGGTCTCCAAAGCGAGTTCCAGAAAAGGTGCAAAGCTACACAGAGAAACCCTGTCTCGAAAAACCAAAAAAAAAAAAAAAAAAAAAAAAAAAAAAAGAAATGAAGAAAAAACGAACAGAGATCAATGCAAAGAAGGAACTGAAGAGCTTAGGAAGATCAGTTTTAAGAAGGTAGACTGAGGCAAGTTTGCATGATGAAACAAGAAACTAGTTTAAAGACTCAAGAGACTAAGTAAGTGATGAACTGACCCTAGGGAGGGAGGAAAGAAATGGAACACAAGAGGAATAGGAAGAAGCAAAATAAAGTTCTCTCTCTCCTAATGAGATGGGAGAGAAGAGGAAGTGGGGAAAAAAAACTATGTAGAGAATCATAGGAGACTGATGTTTTCTGCTACTATGATGTTAATTAAGTGGTCAAGAAAGCTACCTCCATATCATAATAAATGCTATGGGACAGAGCTCCAGAAAGTGCCGAAACTTCTCGACAATTGCTGGAGTGGTGTTGCTCATTGTCACTACTTGACTGAGTCAGAAGCTCCTTTCCTGTCCTGTCTCTGGGCCTGGTAGTCAACTCTAATCTTGTCCTCATCCTCTATTGTAATAGCAATTTCTGTGCCTGTCTAAAGAACTTTATGTCACATAGGTTTCTACCTCTGTAAACCTGCATCAGAACAGCTGGTACTATTGGTAAATTCTGTGTCTTCTTAAGTTGGAGTCAGGGTATCTGTAGAGTAGGAGGCAAGGGGGACAGAGAGTCTGGGAGACTAAAGTTGGCTAAGCTTCTCCAAGTGCTCCATAAAGCATTTCATAGATAAAAGTTCACTTCTATCCACTCCCTTGGATATGGATCGGGGCTCATAGATACACTGAGATGCCAGACAACCAAGTCTAAGGTCACAAGAAGGAAGGCATTTGTGGCACTAGCTCTTTTCATAAGCATCAGTTCTGTTGGGAAACATTCCAGTTCAAAATCATACTATAGGAGATGTCAGATCCAGCATACAAGGATAGAGCCTGAACATTTTCAATATAAAAAATACACTTTAAAAAATAATTAGACCACTACTGAAAGTATTCATGCAAGCATGCAAACTTGTTCTGGATGTATTCTAAAATCATCCCAAAAATTTTAAACATTTTTTTAAAAAAATCTATGCATGGACTAGTAAACTCAAAATATTATTACATACTTAAAAATTAATTTTTATCAAATCCACATAGAACTGAATATAGAATTATATGATATTTCTAAATGGTCTTCTATTTAATAAGGTTTATCTCATTTCACTTTTCACAACCATTACCTAGGACACAGTATGTTTGATGACAATGAACAGCCAGTGCCAATTTACAACCAAGCAGGGATAAGCAAAGCACATCACTAATTACCTGCACACTTCTTACAAATGACAACACAGAGATTGATGGATGCCCAGTCAGGATCTGGGGCTTTACAATCCGCACAGCTCCTGTTGGATTCATTGAACCAAATCTTCTCAGCTACTTCATAATCAGAGAGAGTTTCTGCTATCGACTGCTGCACAGCTTCAATCCAGTCCTGTTTCTCTTTCTCAGACTCTGCTGTGAAGCTGAAACAATTAACATTTCTGCATTATTGATCTCCCTTATACAGGCCAATTAAGCAGGGTGTTCAGTTTGCATATTCATTTCAGCCACAAATTAAATAGTAGCTAAAATGAACCCTGCTGGGTGGTATTGGATTGTCTTTTTCTAATAAAAAGTTATCTAATTTAACAAATCAGTTTCTTTTTCTTCTGATTTTCCATACTGCTGATGGCCCTGCTCACAGATCTTTAACCAAAATTAACACACTTATTATTTCTGATCAAGACATATAGGAATTGCCTTGGTAGGTCAAAGCAAATGAGAGTCATGTCTCTGAAGCAGTGGATTATATAATAATCAAAAAGAGACTGGCAGTGTTTCATGACTGCTGGAATATTTTGCCAGGAAAGTATGTCATCATAGTCTAAAACTAAAATTATCAAAAAAAAAAACCACCCACCAGAAATTGTGATTTTTTTCAGATTTAAAAATGGAAATTTTTAATTAGAAGACTCTCCAGATGGCATTAAGAGACTGAGAAACAAGAAAAGTTTTAAATGGTTACTATTTTAAAGGATTTCTAACTCAATTTTAGCCAGCTCTGACACAGTCTGATTTCTTAGTACTGGCTAGATATCTCACAAAAAGTGATAAAATATTAAACAGCAATGTTGCTCTTCAAGAAAGATTTATTGATTGTTTATTATAGGTAATATCCACATATGCCACAAATGACTCACAACAAAACCCACTGTAAGTTATTGTCACATTATAATTTTTGTTCTTTGAACTATAATGACTTGAAGTATAATGAAAATAATTGGTAGTTTACCATTCTAAGCAGTCCATAAAATAAGTGGCTTATAGAAATTGTACTTTCTGAAGAACTCTTTGATTACATCATTCCTACAATACTAATTATTGATTTCAAGTTCTCCTAGAGGTCCTAGAGGTTAGTTACAGCCAGGATTTCTGTTCAGTGAAGGCTAGAATCTCTCTCTCTCTCTCTCTCTCTCTCTCTCTCTCTCTCTCTCTCTCTCTCTCTCTCTCTCTCTGTGTGTGTGTGTGTGTGTGTGTGTAATGTGTATGTGTGTATGTATGTGTGATATGCAATGTGCTGAGGGTGGAAACCAAGGCTTTGCGCATGCTAGGCAAACACAATGCCACTTATCTACAATCTAAGCTCTAGATCTGCAAGTGTGAAAATAAAGCTTATTATTCTTTATTTGTTAATTTTCATCAAAATTGGAGCCCACAGACATATTTTGAGAAACAAAGTATGAGATACTCAAGAGTATCAGCAATAATTACATCATCCAAAACCTAGAACAATTGCCTCTGACTCACAAAACAACCTGACCTGTGTCATTTGGGAAAATGTATTAATGTAGTTACACTCAACAAATTGCCTATGTCTATACTACCCATATGGAATCATTATACATGATTAAAATATGTTAAGCACATTAAGTATTATTCATTGTCATAGTGATGCAATTCCTCAACTATCATAATACATTTTATTACATATATATATATATATATATATATATATCAAGATGTTAAGATATTTGAATTAATAACTTTATGTGAGCCATTAAACCCAGAATGATTCTAACTTGAGTGACTGGAAGAAATCACATTCAGCAACTGTAATTAAAAGCCAATCTTAAAGTAGGATTCATTCAGTTAGGCTTAAAAAAAGTAAACACAACCTGAAGTCAATGCAACACTATTTTATTTCTTCTATATGTGAAAGAGTTAACATATTCATTATGCTCAGTTTATAAACAAAGTATTGCAAAAAGAGGTAATTCAAGACTCATGAAGAAAGTATCTTGGCTACTTGCATAGTTCTCCAAGCCATTTTCACAGTGATGTCCTACATGCCTTGTAAGTTAGACAATGTGGACAAGAACAGATTATTTTTACTGTTCTATACAATGTAACACAACTGCCAGCATTATGAAATGAATTTCCCAGGCCTTCTCCTAGTCATAAAAACAAATACTCACACAAAAAATGTTTTAAATAGCTTACCTGAAACTCCTGTAGGGAGTGATTATCTCAAAAGACTGTTTCACAGCTCGATCTACTTGCTTTACATTTGCAACATTCATAGGAATTACAGTAATACCAAGTCCACTCTTAAAATCCTAGTATAGAGCAAAAATACAAAATCACTTTTGAAAACACAACTATAATATCTTTCTTAATTCAGGAACTCCTAGAAACATTGCCATATATGTGTATGGAGTTAAACAGAGTCAACTAGAAAAGGAAAAGGCCAGCTCTTCGTGCAGTAGGCAGTCCTTCCCAGTATATGCTAACACTATGCTAGCCTAAGCATCACTGAGCAACAGAGCTAAGTTGACAAGACCATGGATACATGTGCCTTGCTTTGAACAGTGGGTACTATAGTTAACATGTATCAAATCAATTAAAGAAACTAACAAATTAAGAACCTTTGTCATGCGCCAAATATTTATTTGCTAGGAAATCCAAAAGAGCATTATGAAGTCAGCATAAATACCCTTAATATGAGAAGGTGGCAAACTGAGATTCAAAGAGATAGTTACAAGTGATATGCATCTAGCATTGCATGATGGAAAGGAACTAAATATGTGACTGTTGGCTTTTGCTTAATCTCCTTACATTGTCCCTGCTGTGGAAATGTGTTCCTCCTCATTTACATTCAAAGACATTGCTGTTTTATCAATTGTACAGGTTTACATTGCCAATATTCCAATCAGACTCTTAAAAACCTCCTCCAGTGCCACTGTGATACGAAAACTACCCTTTGTTCACCATTGATAGGAACTGAGTTCACAGTGTCCCATTGAAAATTAAAAAAATAGGACAGCCCATCCTAAAAGTAACAATGTTGGCAATATGCTGCATAATCCTATGGGCCTGGTAACTTAGCAATAAATATGCTCAATACTTTGCACAATCACCACCTCAAGAAAGGAATGATCTGTGTAAATAGATTCAGATTAAATGTTCCTGGAACTACTGAATTATGACAATAAAAACACATCCATACTAAAGGAAAAATCAAAAATACTGTTCCATTTTCAATAAGAACACTTAACAAAGACAATTTAGAAAAATTAATAAGAAGAAAAAATAATTCAAATGCCCTTTTCTATTGTAACTGTTGCATGGGAGAAAGAGTACTATGCATTTCTGTTACACATTGCCTATATATCCCATTTTTTTTATCTATATGATATAAAATGCTACATATGAGGACAAACAGATACCTATTATAAGAAAACTTTTCACCCTTTACCTTTCAATATTGTCTAGCAATGTCATCTAGAAATAAAGAGGTCATTACAGAACATGATGGAGAAGACACCTGGTCCTGTCCACATCAGTGCTTCTCTGCTCTCACCAGAGTTCAGCTCTAAGAAGTCACTATGTCTTAACTTTCCTGTAGGTCTATGTGGTTACAACTAATGCATTCTTAGTTGATAAAATTACAACAAAACAATTTTAGAACCAAATTTCCCATATGTATGAATGTATGTATGATGTATGTACATATGTAGGTATTAAGAGCCATCAGTCATAATTCTGTAAAGGCATTTATTATTGATATTATCATTCATATGGGTTGATATTTTTTGGATGTATTCATTTGTGGTCTGGGCATGCATGTTTTTATGCATGGAGGGAGGTCAGAGAAGGTTGCCAGGTGATCTGCTCTATCACTCTTCACCTTAATCTCTTCAGACAGGGTCTCTCACTAAACCTATAGACAAGCTAGTGTCATTGAAGCCCCAGCAATTTTCCTGTTGTCATTCTCCATGGTGCTGGAGTTATATTCACAAGTGTGGACATGCCTGGCTGGCATCACAGGCACAAGTGCGGGCATGCCTGGCTATCATATGAGCTCTAGGAGTCTAACACAGGTCTTCATGCTAGCATAACAAGTGCTCCTACACACTGAACCATCTCTCCAGCCCTATTTGTTATTTTTCAATGTGAAGGTTTATAGATAAAATCAGAAAAATGATGTATTTAGAAAATAAATCAATAAAATATTACATTTTCTGGTAGGATAATAAATGACTCACAGTGTTAGGGTAGAAAGGCAGAATTTGAGAATAAAGAGTATAACATTATACTATAATCTCAAAAGAATTAAAAATAATGTAAAAGCAAAAACACAATAAAATATTGACTACTGTGAAATAATTAGAATGGGAGTTGATCCATTTCCATTTTGTATAGTTAGCTTCGGATGACAAGGAGCATACCAAGTGAAGCAGCCGTGTTTTAATACTTTTCCACATATCAGCGCAGGGCTGACTTTATTTTGTAAATTAAAATACCAACTCCTAATTATCCATATAAATGTCCCTGTTGAATAATGCAACTGTGGGATAAACTCCCAAAGTTGTGTGCCTCGAAACTTAAGCCTTCTTTTATAAATGAGGAAGTAAGAAGAGAATAGCAAAATGAGGCACCTGTCTAAACTTGATCAGGGGATAAACTCTAGATAAAAGAGTGTGCCTGCACTGAACGGCCTTCTAACAGTTTTTCACAATGAGGCTTGTGACAAGAGAAGGATATTAGGCCACTCTACAGCATTCTGTGAGGTGCGTGGCCTGCAAGTATTGTGTGATACTAAGGGCAGAGGCTCATCATGCTTTGACCATCAGACTAGCAGATGGTGGGCATGACAACCTATTATGGAAACTGATGAGACTCATCATGGTTCCCGCCTGGATGGATGGCCCCTCATCTCCACATGAGTCATAAAATCACTACATCTAAAGCTGTAACTCCTGGTAAAGTGAGGGTCAGCTCAGCACTCCAAATTTCTCCCCAGCAAGACAAAGATGATATTTTCTTATCCTGGAAAATTGTAACCCATTTATCAACTGTCTGCCATGGCCATATGGTTCTGAGTAATTAGAGGATGCACACAGCTCACTAGCACCAATTGACTGTAAAAATACAGAGCACAGTCACAAAATAAATGTCAGCGCTCTTGAGAGTGATTAAATGTGAAACAACTGCATTTCTTATTAAGAATACTTTGGTGATATTTAGCCCCCCTTCAGACTATTAGAACACATCCAGACTATGTCCCATTTCTGGGTATTTGACAAATTTTTTGTGTCCATCTTGTACATCCTGAGCATTAACAGCATGAAAAAAAGTACAGAACCATAAAAGTCTTTAATTAAGAAAGAAAACTCTAACCTAAGATTCTCAAAGTGCCACTGAATCTCAGAGCAAAACTGCTAACAGAATTTAGACAGCATTAAGTCTAGACTGTCTAGGCACCAGGACCCAAATACTTCCCTCTGCCTTCTGTAGAGTGAAATACAGAGTACAATCCAAGTATACCAAATTCCATTAAGACCACTAAGTACAAATGAGCATAAGAACACAATAGAATTCAGTTACTATTTGCCCTGGGCTCTAGTCCTATGTAGAGCTGAAAACAACATCTTGCTGCAGCCATGCTTATTTAAATCACTGTCTAGGGTTCAGGAGTTTACAAATGACTATGAGCTGCAATTGTCTGAAAATTTTTGAAGTTGGCAGCATGCACCTTACTATGTTTTCAAAGCAGGGAAACTCATCCTGGAAAAAGCTGTATTCATTTAGGACCTGAAGTACGCAAGAAATTTTACTAGGACTTATATACTAGGACTTACAAAAGTATTAGACTACAAGGTATATGAAGCATATGGTCTAAGGAAAGATGACAGCAAGTTGTAACATGCAGGGAAAGAGAATGCTTGGTTGTAGGTTAAGCACCTGTACCAACTTACAATAAGACAGAAAATATGAGATTCGTGTTTATAAAAAGTTTTTTTTTTCAAAAGAGGTGATATCAGTCAAATGACACCACCAAGATGAACTAATGTTCAGACACTTCTTCTTCAGCATTATTTTGAAGAGGAGCAAGTTCACATAATTAAAGGAGGCTCAGAAGAATGATCAGTTGCACTGAGTGGCATACAAGTCTAGTTACCTATCATTAATTCTATCTCTTATCTATCACTTCCATCTGAAATCAATGAAATGCAATACTAAAGTTAATTGCAAGGAAGTACTTATTCTAAAGTAACAAGCTGACATGATTTTTTTTTTAAGTAAAATAAAATGTGAGTGTTAAATGTCCAAAGAGGAGTGGATGGGGGTGGGGTGGGGGCAAGGTGGGGGGTAAGCGGGAGAAGGGGAGGGAGGGGGAATTGTGGTTGGTATGTAAAATGGAAAAAACTTTTAAAAAAAGAAAGAAATTAAATTATATTACTCAATGTAGGGGGACCAGCCCTGACCTATCAAAGAGTTCTTGAATTTTAAGAGTGAGGAGTTGGAAATAATAGGAAGAAATATACATTTAGACAAAGAAAAAGAGATAAGAGACACAGGATAGCTTTGAAAGGGCTCTGGGTTAAGACCACAGACATCCGGAGTTTATTCCTGATGAGCTTTTTATACATCAGCAAGGGGAGGGGCAAAAGACCTCCCCCTTTCAAGGTCAAGGTATAAAGTACCAACAAGTGTAGAACCTTCAAAACACGTGGTAACCAAGCCTTTGGCCAAATCATCCTATTATGCAGCCCTGCTGGGCAAAGCAAGCTCAGACTTTCTGACCTTGAGTAAGACCTTACTAAAGAGCCTCTGGGGGCCCCCACCCAGTGACTACAGTATGATTGTGAGTTTTATTTTCAGTCTGAAAAATAAGTGAAAAGCAAACTTTCAATCCTTAAAAAGCTGTCAATAGAATAAAACTGGTAGAGATGCTATACTATGAAAGTTAAAGGGCTAGGGAGGGCTTGTAGAGTAAGCAATGTTCTATATTTAATTTCTGTGGCCAACACAGAATTTCAGAAAGCAGGAAATTACCACTAGCAACAAGGATCACATGTGCTGCTTAGCAGATTCCAGATACTGCAACTATATAAATACCTTGGCCCTGACAGACTCAAGGAAGAAACCTAGCTAGAGAAGTACTAGCAAGCTGCCTATCTAGACCTCAACCACATCATTTGTAAATAGAGTAACTCTACCTTAAAGTATTGTTATAAGAATTAAATGAAATAAGATATATTCAGACAACTCTTTCACTTAAAAGTTTTACAGGCAGAATTTGTTATTCATAAAATATTCCATTGCATCTGTA